AGGGTCACAAACATGCAAGGTAGACTCATCGAGATGGGGAAGGGGGTTGGAATCCACAAAATCGATATCTTCTTCATTCTCAACTCCTCTACCATCATCCAAGGGACTCTCAATCTCTATTGGTTGCTCAAATTCATCATCTTCCTCCTCATGAAATCCCTCATCAAAAATTGAAGATGGCTCACTCACATCCTCACCAAGGGTAGCTCTCAAAGGGGGTGAATAAAGGGATGGCAGACGCTGAACCTCAAAAGGGGAATAAAAAGGATCAATATCCTCAAAAATCCTCTCATCACAAGAAAATTTCTCCTCAAATTTACACCCTTGGCCCATATTATCCTCAAAAACACTCTCACACTCCAAGTGAGGTGCCTCGCATTCACTTCCAACAACCTTAGCACTCATCACTTGGGCAAGTCTCACTTCTCTCAACTTTTGTTCCTCTTGAAGCTCTTGGACATGTCGGGTGAGATATTGTACTTGGGAAAGAATTTGGGCACTAATATTATTGGGTTGAGGTTCACAATCATCATTAACATGCATATTATCAACATTAAAACGCACCTCATCATAATGAGCATAAGGGGGTAAGGGGTTAACATGCATATTTGGATCATCACAAGGCATATTAAAAGCATCAAGAGGATTCATGCAAAAATTAAAAGAATCTTGACATTGAGAATCAAAATAAGAAACATGACATTCCCTATCATAAGAATCTCTAGAAAGCCATATGAAGAAATTCCAAGCATCATGCATAGGCAAAAGATGGAATGCACCATTATGCATGTTCTCAACCATTCCCCTAGTATACTCATTCATGCCCCAATAAGCTATACCGCAGGCATCACTAAGAGAACAACCATGGAAATTAAGGAAACCATCAAGTCTTTCAAAGTAAGCATAGAAGGGTTCATCATCAAATTGAGGAAAAGATAAGCATGCCATATTTTTTTTTTTTTAGAATTAAACAAAAACAAACAAAAATAAGGAAAAATATGCACAAAGACCTAGACTCAATAAGGTAATGAAACGATAATGGAAGCCATCCCCGGCAACGACGCCATTTTGATGAGAGGCGAATAGCTAGGTCGTTGGACTAACTACCCTCTACCAAACAATATTTATATACCTAAACCTACACCAAACAAGTCTAGTGATAAGTAAAGGGTCGATCCGCAGATACGGCGAATTATTGTAAACACTACCGTAACTAAGCTAGGTCAAAGGGATATGGAGAAAGAACGGACTAAATATAAGAAGGGAAAAACTAAAAACTATGAAAAGAAACTAAGAAATAAAATCACTAGGGAAGGGGAATCAAGGCATCAATGTGACAAACACAAGCATAGCAATGAACACGGACATTCTCAATAACTTGAAAGGGCAAAGCTCAGTCATCTAGGTCTCTCCCGAGCACGCTACACAATCATGCACCCAACCCCGGCTAAGGGCTCGTGATCAACTCAAAGGGTTCACTTCTACCTAATTAGCTCTTTCCCAAGCAACTAAATGGGTAGCAATTAGATCATGCATTCAACCGGCCAAAGCGAAAGCAAGCATTACACATACCTCAATGAGCACATCCAAAACACTAAGAATTAATCCGCACACACCACTATACTAGCACTAATCAATCGCAAGCAATCAAACATCAATAATCTAATTGGGTCAAGTCGATAATATGGAGAATTGCCTAACAACCTAGGTCACTCCCGCACACACTAGGCCATTAAACTCTCAACCCCGCCTATGAGGTCGTGGTCAACTAAACTATGAAATACTTCTATTAAGCTAGCTCACTCCCGCACAACTAACACAATAGAGATTAAATCATGACATCAATTGGCTAGAAAGACACCAAGCATTAAGACCTTCATTTTTAGTTCAATACATCAACAATTCCAATTAACCCATCAATACACTAGGCGAAAAACCCCAATCCCCACCGGTTCAATACACACATTCCCCACCGGTTTTGAACCGTTTTTGATTTGGGGGGTGGTAAATCCTCAAAGATTTCCCACTGGTTTAAAACCGGTGGCAAAAACCACTTTCTCACCGGTTTTGGAGTGAACCGGTGGCAAAAACCACACTTTTCCCACCGGTTTTGAAGAGAACCGGTGGCAAAAACCAAACTTTTTCCACCGGTTTCCACAGTGAACCGGTGCCAAAAGTCAGCGCGCCAGTTATTAAAAATATTTTGGGCACCGGTTCATTGAAAAAACCGGTGGGAAAAACCTGTTTTTTTTTTTTAATTTTCTTTTTTATAATTAAAAATAATTAAAAACCTGCACATCCTGTATTAATTCTGCTATTAAAATATATTATAATAACAGTAATAATAATAATAATTATTACCCGTATTATTATTATTATTATTAAAAATACTAATAATATAATAATTTTTACATTGGAATAATAACAACAATACATAAATTTTTACATTGCTATATTTACAAACTATACTAATAATTAATGTATAAGTTAACAAGTTCAAATTAAATTATATGTGATGAAAGACGCTAACATGTCTCAAACTTCATTCAACTCTTTGCTCGTCAATGGACCTCCTTTCTGTACCTTGCAAAACTTGGTTAAATAAAAATGATGTTAGCTAGAATTAATTACTTAGGTTATGTATGTAAAAATACATTTACAATTTAAGTTAAACAAAAATTTAATACATAGGCCTATATGACTACTACTTCACCTATTTTCTACATTTATTGCCAAATCAACTCATTTTTCCTCATAACATGTCAATATTACCTAGGTAGAGGCAGATAAAGCCTGAAATCACATTAAAAGAACAAGTCAAGTGTTTTAAGACGCATTTTCAACCTAAATGGCTCGAATAAGGCCTATATCACTACTTGCATGCCTATTTTCTATATTTTAAATCAAATTATCTCATTCTTCCTCTTAACATGTCATTATTACCAAGTTAGAGGCAGATAAGGCTTGAAATCACATTAAAAGAGCATTTGAATGGTTTTTGGACGCAATTTCATTCAAACTGGCCGAAATAAGGCCTATATTACTACTTGTATGCCTATTTTCTATATTTTTAATCAAATTAGCTCATTCTTCCTCTTAACATGTCATTATTACCTAGTTAGAGGCAGTTAAGGCTTGAAATCACATTAAAAGAGCATTTGACTGGTTTTTGGACGCAATTTCATTCAAAATGGCCGAAATAAGGCCTATATCACTACTTGCATGCCTATTTTCTATATTTTTAATCAAATAAGCTCATTCTTCCTCTTAACATGTCATTATTACCTAGTTAGAGTTAGCTAAGGCTTGAAATCACATTAAAAGAGCATTTGAATGGTTTTTGGACGCAATTTCATTCAAAATGGCCGAAATAAGGCCTATATCACTACTTGCATGCCTATTTTCTATATTTTAAATCAAATTAGCTAATTCTTCCTCTTAAAATGTCATTATTACCTAGTTAGAGGCAGCTAAGGCTTGAAATCACATTAAAAGAGCATTTGAATGGTTTTTGGACGCAATTTCATTCAAAATGGCCGAAATAAAGCCTATATCACTACTTGCATGCCTATTTTCTATATTTTTAATCAAATTAGCTCATTCTTCCTCTTAACATGTCATTATTACCTAGTTAGAGGTAGCTAAGGCTTGAAATCACATTAAAAGAGCATTTGAATGGTTTTTGGACGCAATTTCATTCAAAATGGCCGAAATAAGGCCTATATCACTACTTGCATGCCTATTTTCTATATTTTTAATCAAATTAGCTCATTCTTCCTCTTAACATGTCATTATTACCTAGTTAGAGGCAGATAAGGCTTGAAATCACATTAAAAGAGCATTTGAATGGTTTTTGGACGCAATTTCATTCAAAATGGCCGAAATAAGGCCTATATCACTACTTGCATGCCTATTTTCTATATTTTAAATCAAATTAGCTCATTCTTCCTCTTAACATGTCATTATTACCTAGTTATAGGCATTTAAGGCTTGAAATCACATTAAAAGAGCATTTGAATGGTTTTTGGACTCAATTTCATTCAAAATGGCCGAAATAAGGCCTATATCACTACTTGCATGCCTATTTTCTATATTTTAAATCAAATTAGCTCATTCTTCCTCTTAACATGTTATTATTACCTAGTTAGAGGCAGCAAATTAACTAAGTCAATGGCATATCTCATCAAGCTGATGTAAGTCTGTACAATGACTCATTATGTCCAACATGAATCTCATCACGTATAGTCCGCAATCAACTCCGTTATCTTGTTGTGCGCACTAGCATAGGAACACAGTAAATGAATCAAACATGCATAACAAATTGCAACATCTTACGCATCGTTTATTATAAAAATCAAAAAATCATGTAGCATTACCATCGGTGATTTCCATGTAGGACCTTGAGGAGCTCGGCAATTTATCTTCTTCATAGCACTATAGAAAAGTAAGTTCAAACTTGATTAGTATGACATTCGTTTAAATGAGTTAAGTAAGGATAATCAACACTAGATAGCTATATTTACTTTCGCAGTATAGACTTCACGAGGAGCTTTTTCGGATGAGGCAATCGAGCTGAATCAAAAAGGACGATGGTGTTACTGGGAACACAAATCACCAGCAGGGTCCAATGTGCACTACAGAAATGGACAATACACAAACAAGTCAATAATTAGCCATGTACAACGTATAATTAGGGGAAACAAATGAATTTGACATGGTCAAACGTACTCCTCAAAACATGGGGCGAATATGAACTTGTCACCCGCACGCAATGATTCCTTGATACCCCGTTCAACATAGTACAACACGTCAGGGTAGTTGCCTAAGATTCTAGGAGTGGAGATTTGCTCGGGGCATAACCACCCTACTTGACACGGAGAATCAATCTCAAGTAAGTGCTCCTGTAGTGCTCTACATGCATGGTTACAAAATATTAATGGGAAATTAAATGACAAGCAATCACCACTAATCTGAATTACATAATAGTGTCTAGCATTAAATTACCTCATGAATGTTTGAACGAGGGAGATGTTAAGCATTGAACCACTTAGAAATTCTTGCACATCTTCATTGCTAAGCCATGCAACTGCATCCTCATCAAAGTGGAACATTGCCTTAGGTAGTGGAACTTGAATGGGAGTGTCACTAGGCAACATACTGACACGGTTGTGTAGAAATGTTAAATCTTTAGACAGCGTTTGAAGGACCGTGTCAGCAACAAGTTGAGTAGCATGCAAAGCTGAACCTCTCGAAGAGTTCTTCTTCGACCCTTTTTCACTCTCCGACCTTTGTTCACTCTTCTTCTTTGGCACCGGTTGGTCAACGCTTATTGGTTGTTCCACCCTCCTCTTTGAAATTTGTCTTTTTTGCGAAATCTAATACAACAAATCACGCAATTGGTTAGAAAAGACAAATCCATCTAACTCTTGTGAAAACAACCGGGCATAAAATACAGAACGAATGAACCCAAAATCTTAATTACCTGGTTCATCAACCTTACACAAGCACATGGCCACTGCACAAATTAAGCTACCTTTTGCCGCCCAAAGTGTAGTAAACTCCTCCTCCTCTATGGGCACCGGTATTAGGATGTCCTCGAACCCGGTAATAAGAGAATTGATCCCAACCGAGTAATGTTGTGGCCTAAGCGGTCGCAAATGGACCGTACCTTGTTTGGCCGATTGTGCACTACCATATGCAACCACATGCAAAGCTCCAGATTGGTCCGGGTGTAGAAGTGCACAACGGTTCTATTCCTACACCAATTTGAAAGATTAGTTATTAGAACCAAACATATCACAAGGGGTTGTTTCCTACACAATTGATAATGTGCCCATATTCACTAAGATTGATAATGTGCCCATATTCACTAAGATAGAACTAAACAAATTCAAATGTAAATCTGGAAAATGATGAGGTGCTGGATTATCGAGCTCCCTCGAGTCCGCATGTGTAGGCGTACCACCCTGCAACAAGAAATTAATGACTGCCACCTTAGATCCTACATAACACAATATGCCAAAACTAAAAGTTTTGAAACTACCTCATTTGCATCATCGTCTCCATGTATATCATCTTCCCCTTGTCCTTTTGGGTGACTACATGAGTCGACGGGTGTATTCGAGGGGAAAGGCAAGCTCGGTAGGTTCATTTGCTTCGCCCAAGCGTTAAATTCACTTACGAGCTCGTTGCGGACTTGTTCCTTAATCGATGCCACCGTGGAAACCAAGTCATGAGGTGAGTTCACACTTGCTCGGGATCTTCCTGATTTGATATACTCTGAACCCATCACCTTTTCCCACCCTAGCAATGACCCTCCTGCACCTACTAGCCGTCCTGGATGGTAGGGCTTTCCCAAAGCCAAGGTGAAAGGGTCTTTTTCTACACTAGGGACGAGCTTGCCTTCAACCAGTTCTTCAGTGTGTTCAATCTGTAGCAAAAAAAAAAAAAAAACAGAATCCAATAGCATCCATAAGTGATATTTATGCAAAATATTCATAGAGTTCTCAAGTTCGTAGTTGCTTACGAGCTTATAAGCCATTTCTTTGGTTTTCGGAGCCTTGATGGCCCATTTTCCGGTCTCCTTGTCACGCGCATGCAGTGAACAGAAGAAATCACCAGCACGACTCACCAGCGTAGTGATCGTGGAAGAAGAGTGTCCTTTGGACGACCCTAGTAGCGAAGTGGGGTATACTCCTTCGTTGACCCACGTTTCCCTCCATTCACCAAATGTCTTAGACCCCATACGTTGGGTGTATTGCTTCAAACATGCATTTTTGGAATTTTGCTCCCTCAGTTCCTACGTAATTAGAATTGTTAGTATTATTACTTCAAAAAGAGATAATATATTATACCATTTTAATCAAATTTACTTAAACTTACAATTGCTTCCTTTGTACTTTGTTGAATAACAAAAGCTTCCCAATCATCTTTCGATATGTTTGGCCATTTTTGCCATGGGAGTAGCTCTTCATTGATGACTTCATCATCATTGCCTTTCTTCTTCTCTGGTTTTTTCTTCCTCTTTGTGATCCAACCACGAACTAATTCGCTCTTGAAGCCTCTGAATCTTTTCGCTAGCAAAGATTCAAACACCCTTCGCTTGGCGGCATCATTAGAAATATTAAACAGACTCTACAAACACAAATAAAGTCGATTATTAGTTTCCCCTTTTACATAAAATTAAAGTAAAGGTATTTATAATTGTATAAATACGCAAATAAAACACTTGCCCTTGTATCATTCCAAAATGTGTCAATCAAGCCTGGAGGTACTTCCCGCATACGAAGTGTAATCGGGATTTTACGCGCACAAATGCCAACGTGAATAGCATATGGACGACGGAATTTGCCTACAGGTTGGCCCGCCAAGTCGTACTCCAGGACCATGGGACCGACGGGTTTCTTGAAACTTGTCGTCGGACCCCTCACCTTTTTCTTAGCCGGTGCCCTCACCCCTCCTCCACTTTGTCCTTGGCTTTGATTGTGGGAAGTAGCGTTCTCACCAACCGTCTCAGAAGCTGCATTTTCAATAGGAGGCGCTTGTTCAGCCTCCTTTTCAAATGTATCTAGCCTACGCTCCAACTCATCTTGAGCCTGATCTTCTGCCTCACCCAAATCAGGCTCCTTGCTCACATCATACAACTCATCACCATCCTCAGATAAGTCATCATCATCATCCTCAACACAAACACAGTCCTGATCGTCCGCCATGAGATGTAATCACCTGCCATAACAATCATAACACGTTAGTAGTTGTATTATAAGTTGTATTTCGGCCATTTTGAATGAAATTGCGTCTAAAACCATTCATGTGCTCTTTTAATGTGATTTCAAGCCTTAGCTACCTCTAACTAGGTAATAATGACATGTTAAGAGGAAGAATGAGCTAATTTGATTTAAAATATAGAAAATAGGCATACAAGTAGTGATATACCTCATTCTAATATTCCTTCGTTGTGGTCTAATCGCACATAATTGGTTTGGTCGTCTACGTCATTTGGTACAACAGGTCTAGGAACAGTGAAAGGTGCTGAGTCATCAAACGCATCATATTCTTCCTCATCCTTGACATCTCCAATGCCTAGGATTCTTCTTTTGTCGGCTAGCACAATAGACCATTTCATATCTGCTGGGTCAGTTACGTAAAACACTTGCTTAGCTTGAGATGCAAGGAAGAATGGTTCCGCACTGTCATTTAGGTGGCTAAGATCTACAAGAGTAAAGTCATCATATTTGACGTTACGCCTGATATTATCAACCCATTTACATCGGAAAAGAGCAATCGTGAAGCTACAATAATCAAGCTCCCATATTTCTTGAATTCGACCATAGTATGATAACTCTGCATCAACGGGTGATTTATCCTTAGCACTTGCAAACTCCCTTGACGATGCCACAAGCGTCACACCACTATTTTGGGTCGAGGAAGATTTCAAATCCTGACGCTCAGTCCAAAAAGTGTACCCATTTATGTCATATCCCTCAAATGAGCGAACATCATCCCTAGGACCATAAGCAAGCCACCTTACTGTATCAGTGACACTCTCATCCATTCTACCCATCACTCGATCACGAAACCAACTCACAAACCTCTTATTATGCATCTGCATCAATTCCCTTTCACCTTTCGATGGAAATTCATCACGCAAACTAGCCATGTGCTCATCTAAGTATGGGTGAACATCTGCAACATGGTGCAACACATATAGGTGTGCTTGCTGTAAAAACTTATCTCGGTCAGGTGACATTCATTTCGACCCGATTGTGCCGTGACCATCAAGTCTCCCTTCATGTCGAGAAGTAGGAAGACCAATAGGTTCAGCAACAGCTATATAGTCGGCCACAAAATTACCAATCCCCTCACCCACGGTCCCTTGAATCATACTTCCTTCCGGGTGAGCCCGATTCCTTACCTTGTTTTGCAATGTACCCATGTGTCTTTCAAAAGGATAGCACCACCTCATGAACACTGGACCGCACAACTTGATTTCACGCACCAAATGAAGAATAAGATGCACCATTATGTCAAAGAATGAGGGTGGGAAGTACATCTCAAATTTGCACAAAGTCACAACCACATCCGCCTGCAAAGCATCAAGTGCACAAGGATCAAGCACTTTGCTGCATATTGCATGTATTGAAAAAAGAACAGAGGCTTGTAATAGCTTCCCTCACGTGCTTCGGTAAAATACCACGTATTGCAATTGGTAGGAATACTTGCATAAGAACATGACAATCATGGGATTTCATACTTGTCAGCTTCAATTCTCCATTTAAGGATACAAACTTTTCATGTTAGATCCATACCCTGAATGGAACCTTAATGCCGTACAGACATGCACAAAACATCCGTTTTTCTAACCTTGACAATGTGTAGCAAGCCGGAGGTAAATAAACCTTGGCATCCTTTGCTTTTCCATCATAATTCTTCTTCAACGCATCTGTGGACTTTCCTTTTCCCTTGCTCTTCCCCATTCCTTGTTTCGAACTCGTTTCATCTCTCTTTTCCCGAGCCTTTCCCTTTCTAACCTTTTCCTGAGCCCACAATTCTGGACGAACCCCCATCTTATACAAATCTAACCGTGCACCCTTTCCATCCTTTGTTTTGCCTTGAATATTCATCAGCGTTCCCACAAGAGCATCACACACATTCTTCTCTATATGCATTACATCAAGACAGTGTCTAACATCATGTTCTTTCCAGTACGGAAGCTTCCAAAAGATTGATTCTTTTTTAAAGAGAACAGTTGAGTCCGCAGCTTTTTCTGTTTTCCCAAATACTGTTCGTATATCCTTAACTCGAGCATAAACCTCCTCACCAGTCAATGGCCTAGGCGCAGTCCCCTCTTCCGCTTTCCCATCAAAAGCCTTTTTCTGCCTACGGTACGGGTGATCGCGCCTTAGCAACCTTCGAGTCCGCATATACACCTCTTTGTGGCAATTGCCAAGGTGTATGCTTGGGGTGTCATCAATACAAATGGGGCATGCTTTTTTTCCTTTGTTCTTGTACCCAGACAAGTTGCCATATGCAGGAAAATCATTAACGGTCCACATAAGAGCTGCACGCAAGGTGAACATCTTATTCTTATGAGCATCAAACACGGAAACCCCTTCGTCCTACATCTTTCTCAAATCATCAACAAGTGGCGCAAGATAAACATCTATGTCGTTTCCAAGTTGCCTTGGCCCAGTTATTAGTAGTGAAAGCATTACGTACGTACGTTTCATGCACAACCAAGGGGGCAAATTGTAGATCACTAAAAGTATCGGCCATGAGCTGTGCTGGGTACTAAGAGTGCCAAATGGATTCATCTCGTCCGTGCACAAACCAAGCCTTAAATTTCTGACTTTATCACCAAATTCACCAAACTTCATATCAATGTTCTTCCATTGCGGGGAGTCGGCTGAATGCTTCAGCATTCTGTTTTTCTTTCTTCCCTCTGCATGCCACCTCAAGTTTTTTGCGTCTTTTGGTGTTGAGAAAAGACGCTTAAACCTTGGAATGATGGGAAGATACCACAACACCTTCGCAGGAGGTCCCTTCGTACCAGCATTGCAACTCATGCGCTTGTAACGCGACTTCTTGCATCGTGGACACTCCTCCAATTGTTCATATTCATTTCGATAAAGAATACAATCATTAGGACATGCATGTATCTTCTTATACTCCAAACCAAATGGACACATGAGCTTCTTTTCATAATAGTATGACTTAGGAATTTCATTCCCGTCAGGCAACATCTCACTTAACACGGTCAACAAAGACGTAAAACTGTTGTCCGTCCACCCATGCTTCGACTTAATGTTAAACAGTGTTATCATAGCAGATAGTTTGGAGTATTTTTTGCACCCAGGATACAAAGGCTTTTTAGAAGCCTCCGATAACGACTCAAACACATCACCTTCAACACCACGCATCATTTCATTCACCCCTTCATCCTCCACCTGATCATCATCAAATCCATCCTCATCACCATTATCAACAATAAATTCATCATTCTTGTATTCCTCATCCACACGAATATCATTGCTTCTATCATCATACACATCATTCCCAATAACATCCCCAGTGTACTCTCCTTCTTCACCATGCCAAATCCACACATGGTATTTAAGCCTAAACCCACGACAAACTACATGATCTCTAATGACATCAACACTATTAACCACCTTCACATTATTACAATCAACACAAGGACAATAGAGGCGATCGAAACCCATTCTGCGCTGATAAGATGAAGCCCTCTAAACACAAGAATTCCAATGTATCACGTCTACCATACATCCAGCCACGATCCTTCTCCATTAAGTAAATTGCCTCTAAACATGGCAACATATTACGAATAATGTATAATTGCAACATCTATTATATATGTAAATCAAATTCAAACTCACACCATGTATATAACATTCATATAGATACAATAATGCATATATGCTTCCAAAGGGTCCTTATCGCTCCAACCTAACCCATCCTTGAACGTTTACTCTCACTAGTGAATGTATGTCGACTTTCCAATTTTAAGGAAAATCCGGCAGCATTTCCCCCCAGTTCTCCAAGTACACGATGTAGGTAATAACTTACCCACATATGTACCCAGAGAACATGGTGATCGAGGAAATGCTAAGCCAAGATGTTCCTTAAAATCGAAAACAGAAGACATACATTCACCACCTAAGTGAGAGTAAACGTTCAAGAACAGTCCCAACCGGGGACTATTCAAGACTTTCTCCTAATGAGAAAGCCTTGAACGGGTATCTAGGCATATGATGATGCAAGCATTTATAGATTTTTGTATTAATTTGTCATTAAACAATACACAAGTTGTAATGGCATGAGAAAACTTTCATCATGAATCAAGAAAAAGAAACACAGACTAAGTTTTTAATTCATACCACAATTGAGCTAAATTTGTAGTCTTCAAGCTAAACTTGTGCTTCAATTCACATATGAATCTATAAAAAAATTATAAAGAAAAAACAAAAGTTAGTAAGTAATTAATACCTACATACATTGCTAAAGAATAACGCATCATTAACCAAACTAACAATGCATGGCACCGTTTTAAACATTTATAAAGTTTTGATAAAAGAAGGGGATTTTCTAACTTTTGATTCTTTGGTACTGCTATTGCCTCGTGAATTATAGTTTTTAATTATTATTTTTTTGGTAAGTAAGTAAATGTATTGCCAACGAAAAAAGTTACATCTTACAGAAGAAAAAGAAACAAAACTAAATTATAACCGTCAAAACCTACACAAGCCCAATGGCCCACTCACACCCAATAACCCCAGCCTAAAAAAAAACTACAAAGACGCTAAAGGAAAGCATGAAGCTATCTATACATGACCCCATAGCATAACAATCCAGCCACCTAACAAACTAAGCATCCCTTTAACAACAGCTACATCTTCATAGGCCTAAGCAGAGTAGTAATTCACCTGATGCAATCACCACCCAGCAGCACCAGCATTAACCAAGCAGACAAACAGCACCAGCAACCAGAAACCAGAACCAGAACCTAGCAACCAGCAGCCTGAAACTTGAGAGACTGCCTGCAGACAGGAGCAGCAGTGCATAAGGCAGCACCAACAGCTAGCAGAAGCAGCCCACAACAGCAACCAGCAGCACGTAGACAACAGCACCAGGCACACAGCAGCAGCACGCAGACACAACACACTGCACCAGAACAGGCCAGCAGCACCCCAACTAGCCCTGCCAGCAGAACCTTCAAACACCAAGGGAGGAGCCCCCTGAGGCAGCAACTCCTAGCAGAAACAGCCAGCACAGAAGCAATCTTTTGAGGCTGTGATTGTATAGATGTTTGGCAACTTGAAATCTATATATTTTTTATGTGCCAGATTATTTCTTGGTAGTGATTTTAACAATTACTCCACATTGTTGCAAAATGTTACCAAAGTAATTGAAACCCAAAATTTTCAATAAATCTAACAACTAATTCAACTAATCACTTGAAAAATCAAAAAGTAATTCAACCATAAATTAGCTATAATCCATTAATCCAACGACTAGATAATATCATGATACAAATTAAAAATTGAAACTTGAAAAAAGTAGAATGATATGAATGAAACGATGAAAAAATTATCGAAGCTACGAACCTGACAACCTGGCGGCCTGGCGGAGCTACGAACCTCGTTTTCCCAATTTCCCCCAAATTCCTCCTGATAACCTGACAAAGTAAACCCAGAATGCACTTCAATGTGGCAATGGAGGAGAGTTATGGAGAGAAAGAGAAGAGTTGCGCGGCAATGGAGGTGAGAAACCCAGAATGCGCTTCAATGTGGGACGACAACAATGCGCTTCAATGTGCGCTTCAATTAGCTATAATGGAAGAATAATTAATGAAGTTGCAAATGGGAATGAACCAGGGGATGAGAATGCGAATGGAATAGTAATGCGAATGGAATGAAATGCGAATGGAAATAAACCAGGGGATGGGGATGCGAATGGAATGAAATAAACCAGAACTTTTCCCACCGGTTTGGGTTGAACCGGTGGCAAATCTCTTTTCCTCCTTTTTTTTCAACAATTAGGATTTGGCACCGGTTTATCAGGAACCGGTGGCAAAAGGTAGGATTTGGCACCGGTTTATCAGGAACCAGTGGCAAAAGTGATTATCCAAAATCAAGCCCACTATTTTTTCCATCGGTTTTTAAGAACCGGTGGCAAAAGGGGGGTGCCTTTTTCAATTTTTCTACTAGTGATAAAGTGTTCATCTTGCTCATTAATCCCCAATTAAACCCTAATCCTAGCTAAGAAAATTACTCTAACATAATTAAACTAGCAAAATCAAAGACATTAACACAAACTAAACTAACAAGAACAACAAACATTAACCAACAAAGAGGAACAAGAGAGAGACTAAGAATAAAACCCAACAAGAAGAACAAATTACCAAAATTAAACTACAATACTAATCAAGCAAATAATTAAACAAAGCAATAATTAAAGAAAGCAATAAATGAGATAGAGTTTAGAATGCTCATTAGAATTTTGAAGAGTAATCCAAAACAATGTCACTTTGCATCTTCATCTTCTTCAATCCTCCATTAAAGCTCTTCACTTTGTCTCTCTAAATTACCCTAAATTACTCCTAATCTACATTACAAAGTATAAAAATGAATATTAACACTAAATCTAAGCCTAATTTATGTGAAGATTGATGGAGAGATGTTAGGGTTTAACCCCTCAAAGAAGAGAGAGAAAACCCCAAAGAAACCCCAATAAAAAACTTGTTTTAAAATGAGGAGAGGAAGAAGATATTTAAAAGCCCCGGAACAGCACGTGCGCGCCCGCGCAGCCTGTGGTGCGCGACCGCGATTGCCATCTACAGAAATTAAAGTTGATTGGCCTGGCAGCGACATTCATTTTCAAACGGCCATAACTTCTGTTCTAGGAGGCTTCTGGGGGCGTGCGACCTACTGTTGGAAGGATCTTCAAGTCTAGTTTCTAATGCAACTTGAATCATCTCAATCGGATTTCTAGATCAAAAGTTATGGCCAAAACAATGAGCAAAGGTCGGTCTGCGTGCCCACTGCGCGCCCGCGGGAGCCATTTACAGAATCTTTAACACACATCTTCCTCCTTCCTTTACTTGACTTGGCTTGCACTTGGGCCACCTTCGTTGGTTCGGAAATTCTAAAATGATTTAAATTGCCCTTCAAAGCCGCACCCGAACCACGAACATGTACCTAATGCAATAAATGACATACGAGAGTAAAAGGGAATATATAGAATGCATCAAAAATGATATAAAACATATAAAACCATGCAAATCTTCCCAAATTACTCAACTAATCAAAACCAAGCTTCTATTTACTTAAAACACACGAAAACATAACAAAAATAAATTATAATAAAGCAATAAAGCTAACTATAGAGTGCCATAAATGGCACTCATCAAAGCTCCAGGGTGAACTCCTCGAGGATAAGAGGTTGGCTTCTAAGATAAAAAGAATCAGTTCACGATTCATCGTTTTTGGCAGCCAGCTCCTCAGAAATTCTTTCTCCTCTCCACTGCTAAAATGTGTGGGTCCAACAGATGCTGACTATATTCTTCGATAAATTCACCTCGGCATCTGCGGAAATCATATAGGAGGGAGAACCTTAGCCCATAAAGCTCTAAAGGCAGGGTACTTTTGGCCAACAATGATCTCGGATCCAAAATGCATGGTTCAGAAATGCGAAATATGTCAAAAATTCGCTCCAGTTATTCATCGGCCATCTCGAGATCTTCAGCCAATCCTCAACCCTCTTCCATTTGCACAGTGGGGGTTTGATATTTTGGGTCCTTTTCCCGAGGCTCCATACAAGAAAAAATGGTTGATAGTCGGCATCGACTATTTCAGCAAATGGATTGAAGTCGAAGCTGCTTCAAACATAACTGAGCAAACTGTCAGACAGTTCATCTGGCAGAATATCATAACTCGGTTCGACATTCCCAAAGTCTTTGTATTCGACCATGGCAGACATTTTGACAACTTGCCTCTGCGCCGGTACACTGATCAATTCGGAATAAAATTAGCCTACTCTGCAGTTTGTCACCCTCAGAGCAATGATCAAGCCGAAGTTGCAAATAAGCAAATCCTTAACGCTCTCAAGAAAATAGTTGAGGATCAAAAGTCCAAGTGGATAGAGGAGCTTCCTAGAACCCTCTGGTCACTTCGGACAACCGAAAAAGAAGCAACGGGGCATACACCTTTTCAATTAGTGTATGGATCCGAAGAAGTGCTTCTAGTGGAAATAGGCTTAGAAAGTCTACGAGTCAATCTCTTCTCAGCCGAGGAAAACGAGCAAGTCTTGAAAGAATCCCTTGACTTCCTTGACGAGGTCAGAGATTCGGCTCGAGAAAGAATGGATGCTTGTAAGCTCAGAATCAGCAAATCCTACAACCGAAAAGTCTATCAAAGACCTCTTAGAGTTGGGGACCTAGTTCTTCGGAACGCCGCAGCTGTGCAAAAAAGCCGCATTCATGGGAAACCCTCGGCATCTTGGGAGGGACCCTATGAAATTTATCAAGAGCTTCAGCCCGGCACATTCAGACTTAAACAACTGGATGGCACCGAGCTGAAAAACCATTAGAATGCCGATGTGCTAAAAAAATACCATGTGTAAATCCTTCGGGAAAGTACAATCTATGTAAGTGCATCAATCTTGTTAATAAAAAGGCCCTTGCTCCAATGTTTGTTCAGATTTAGTGCATTTTACTTCAATTATTTCGGTCTTTCTGCTTTCTACGGTTTTTTCAAAAAATTCGGGGTTTCATTCGGTGCTGTCCGAAGTATTGCATAGTGATGCCTTGTACTTCGGCAAGCCGTAAAACCTGCCAAATAAGGAAAAAAGATACAAGCCCGAGGCATTGCATAGTGATGCCTTGTGCTTCGGAGAATCTGTTTCTTTGGGCAAAAAGGCCATAGACTCATCCGAAACATAGCCTAAAAAATAGGAACTGATAAAGCCCCGGAGTATTGCATAGTGATGCCTTGTACTTCGGATGAATCAGTTCCGGGTGGTGGTTGTAGTTCTGAAGTATTGCATAATGATGCCCTGTACTTCAGATAAACCGCTGCCCCAGGTACGGTGTTTCGGATAGTTGTTCCCTTGGATGAATTTAAAAGGTGTCACAAGAGTATCTTTGAGTGAAAGCTCTTAAGTGGGAAATCAGTACCTTAAAAACAGATGTAGAAAAGAAAGCAAAAATATTCAAAGGAAAGCTCTTAAGGTAATCCTCAGCCACGCTGAGGAAAGTTGACTGCTAGTCCAGAACTCAAAAGACTCCATCTTCAGAATTCTGGGGGACAAGAGAAGATAGAGAAAAATGTGTTTCATGTGCTACTCAAAGTTTCTCAGCTCAGCCGAGGTTTGATACTTATGTCAGTTTTTCACAAGTTCAAAACATCCGAGTAAAAACAAACAAAGGCAAAATAAGAGAAGCAAAGTTAGTACAACGTCTATCAGCCAAAAGTGAAGTCTCAGCAAAGATTGTCCTCATCAGCTGAAGTTCTATAATTTTGAAGAAACATTCAAAGAAAGCAGTAAAGTATGCAGAACAGAAAAAGCAAAGAAAGAAGACAAAAGCTGAGAACAGTAACTTCATAAAATAAAATGTTAGGGATTACAGAGATTCTGAACAAGAGTTTCAATCCTAAACTAATTCGGCAGCCGTCCACAAGCGGAAACACAGCCGCCGAGAAAATGTACTTAAAGAAAAATAAGCAAAAGGTACATTAAAAGGCAAGCTGAAGCAAAAGAAAGGCAAAAGGCAGATGCCGAGTTTTACAAGTTAAGCGCATGAAGAGCCGCATGATTCTGCAAACGACTGCCCGAATTCCTATGCTTCGGCAGAAGGAGAAGGATCATCATCATCTTCCTCTTCTTCCTCGGCCTTGATTCGGGCCAGATACGCCTTCTCAGCTGGATGCGAATGGCGCATATGAGGATGGTTCGACACAGAAGACCACTCTTCTACTCGATCCCAATTGATTTCA